TACTTCCCTAGATCTAGACACTATGCTCCTATTGATGCAGGCCAAAATCCCATTGGCTTTTTTTGCCGCCACATCACATTGTTGGCTCATGTTTAACTTGTTGTCCACGAGGACTCCAAGATCTTTTTCACACGTACTGCTCTCGAGCCAGGCATTGTCCCCCATTCTGTATCTTTGCATTTCGTTTTCCTGCCAAAGTGGAGTATCTTGCATTTGTCACTGTTGAACTTCATTTTGTTAGTTTTGGCCATTCATCTCTCTAATCTGTCAAGATCGTTTTGAATCCTGCTCCTGTCCTCTGGAGTATTGGCTATCCCTCCCAATTTGGTGTCGTCTGCAAACTTGATGATCCTGCCTTCTAACCCTTCATCTAAGTCATTAATAAAGATTATTATTTCTCAATAAAATAAAAAAGACAATGAAAAAACATCCTCCAGCCTGCAGTTTGAAGTTTCAGGTAGACTTTTGTTGGCAAGGTGTATTAAACTGGGGAATGATTGGAACAGAGCCGGGGTACCCTTCCACCACCTGCCTGGCACCTCTTTGCCAATTGCTGTCACAGATGGAACTGCTTCCCACTCATCAATCCCCCAAGTCTCTCCCTTCTAGCTCGCAGGCATGCTAACAGAAAATCTAGGCTGCCGTGCAAGCGAGGCGGCTGATGAGCTGTGGAAAAATCCCAGGCTTGTGTCCACAAGCTGTTCCCCTTCGTGAAGCGGGGGCCGAGGCGTTGCTCCGGCATCCTGCGGGGAGCCGAGTTGACTTAGGACCGGTTGTCTGTTCCATCTGGCTGCTCGCTGGAAGGGCAACGGTCTCCTCACTTAAGCTCCGCTCTAATAGGGAGCATGCAATTAACTGCGCCGCGCAATTATCCCAAAAGGTCAGGCCCAGAAAGGTTGAGGACTTCTGGCTTCTAATGGCACAGATGGACCTCAGCTCTGGGCGTGCGGAGTTGAAACACCGCTTGGTTTTATGCAAGCAATTCAAACGCTGCGTTGTGGTTTTAAACTGGAAAAGGTCAACCTAGTACTTTCACTTAAAAACAATGTAAGAACACAGCAAAAAAAATTCCAAACAGAACTTCTAGGTTCTTGTGGGTTTTTTCGGGCTATAGGGCCATGTTCTAGAGGCATTTCTCCTGACGTTTCGCCTGCATCTATGGCAAGCATCCTCAGAGGTAGTGAGGTCGGTTGGAATTAGGACAATGGGTTTATATATCTGTGGAATGGCTGGGGTGGGGCAAAGAGCTCTTCTCTGCTGGAGCTAGGTGTGCCACCTTCATTAGCATTTGAAGGCCTGCCTGAGCCTGGGAAATCTTTTGTTGAGAGGTGTTAAGATGTGCCTAAGCCATTCCACAGATATATAAACCCATTGTCCTAATTCCAACAGACCTCACGACCTCTGAGGATGCTTGCCATAGATGCAGGCGAAACGTCAGGAGAAATGCCTCTAGAACATGGCCTTATAGCCCGAAAAAACCCACAAGAACCTAGTGATTACAGCCATGAAAGCCTTCGACTAAACAGAACTTCGTTTGCCCTGATTTAAAAACTGACTCGGTGCATCTACGTGAAGCCATGATAGGACTTTGTGATGTCCAAACATAATTGTCACTTAAAAACAATGTAAGAACACAGCAAAAAACAGAACTTCATTTGCCCTGATTTAAAAACTGACTCGATGCATCTACGTGAAGCCATGATGGGTCTTTGTGATGTCCAAACAGAAATATTTTCTACATATAAATAATAACAATAATACTTTATTTATACCCCGCTCCATCTCCCCCAGGGAGACTTGGGGCGGCTTACATGAGTCCACATCCATCAGTACAATAAACACAATAATATATAGAAGCATAACAAAACCAGAAAATAAAATACATAAAATGCAAAACCAATATAATAGACGACACAGCAATATAATATCAAACATTAAAACACAAAAGAATTACACTAGGCAGGGCCAAATTCAAAGGTAAAATTTTAAAACAATGTAAATTGTTGGGAGGGGGATCCGGGGATAAGAAAGGATTTAATTGCACAAACCATAAAATAAAGTGCTTCTGAGGTCATTTTATGCCAAGTATGGTCAGGGAGTGTCTTACATTCAATCATTGAAGGCACATTCGAATAACCAGGTTTTCAGGTTCCTCCTGTAGATGGCTTCCCTAATATCTCTGGGGAGTAAATTCCAGAGCCGGGGAGCCACCACAGAGAAGGTCCTCTCTCTCGTCCCCACAAGCCGCACTTGCGATGCGGGCCGGAGCGAGAGAAGAGCCTCTCCTGAAGATCAAAGAGGTCGCATGGGTTCGTAGATGGAAATCCGGTCGCGCAGGTAGGCTTTGTAGGTCAAAACCTGCACCTTGAATTGGGCCCGGAAAATAAATGGCAGCCAATGGCGCTCCTTAAACAGTAATTGGCACCAGTTAATAATCTGGCTGCCGCCTGTTGGACCAATTGGAATTTCCAGGCCATCTTTGGCGGGGATGAGGGACAGGGCCTTCTCGGTGGTGGCCCCCCGGCTGTGGAATTCACTCCCCAGCAAGATTTGATTGGTTTCATCCTTCCTGTCTTTCAGGAAGAAACTGAAATCATGGTTCTGGGACCAAGCTTTTGGACAGCAGGCATAACAGCACTTTGGATGTGGAATTGGACTGGAATGGCTATATGGTTGACAAATATATTTAATTGTTTTTAATTTAATGATTTATTTATATTCTAAAAATGTTGCTATACTGTTGTATTTTGTTGCTTGCTTATTATTGTTGATACTGTTTTATGCTATTTTAATTTGTTATTGTTCTACTTTTAATTGTATTTGGCCCCATGCAAGCCGCCCTGAGTTCCTTCGGGGAGATGGAGGTGGAGTAGAAAAAATAAAATATATCACACAGTCCCAGACGCTTGGAAAGTGTTCGACTTGTGATTTTGTGATACTAAATCCAGCATATAGATCTCATTTGCTGTGACATACTGTGTTTTTGTGTCAGTAAAATAATAATAATAATAATAATAATAATAACCAAAATCACGATCTGTCAACTGCAAAAGGCCACCTTACTTGGATCTTGAGTCCCCCTAGGGGTGAGAAAAGCAGTATATAAATACTGTAAATAAATAAATAAATAAATACTATGCTAATAATATAATATATTGTACTAGCTGTCCCCTGCCACGCGTTGCTGTGGCCCACATAGGGTTCTTTGTGGGAGGTTTGGCCCAATTCTATCATTGGTGGGGTTCAGAATGCTCTGTGATTGTAGGTGAACTATAAATCCCAGCAACTACAACTCCCAAATGTCAAGATTCTATTTTCCCCAAACTCCACCAGTGTTCACATTTGGGCATATTGAGTATTTGTGCAAGTTTGGTCCAGATCCATCATTGTTTGAGTCCACAGTGATCTCTGGATGTAGGTGAACTACAACTCCAAAACCAAAGGACACTGCCCACCAAACCCTTCCAGTATGTTCTGTTGGTCATGGGAAAACTGTGTGCCAAGTTTGGTTCAATTCCATCGTTGGTGGGGTTCAGAATGCTCTTTAATTGTAGGTGAACTATATATCTCAGCAACTACAACTCCCAAATGACAAAATCATAATTTTTTGAGTGATGGTCACTCCTTGTGCTGTGTGATTTTTTTTTTGTGTGTGTGTGTGCAGTTTTTCTTTTACAATCAAAGAAGAAGTGGAAAGTAGATAATTACTATTAAAAATAGAAGGAGAAAGGGGAAAAAAAGGAAAAAATGAAAAGGAAAAGAGAGAGAGAGAGAGAGAAAGAGAAAGAGCGAATGTATAGATATAAGTCACCCTGCACCCGGTCCCCAGTGTCTAGACTTCCCATAGTCTTCAAAGAGTCCAGTGAATAATTGGTGGTAGTGTCATCTTTCTGTAGTTACATTTCCGGCGTTGCTTCGATGTATAGATCGTTCTTCAAATGCTGGATAAGTCTATTATCAGAGTCATCTTCTTGCTGGCTTCAATAAAATCTTTGACTCCCTCCCAGTTCGTCTTTTTTGGTAAGTTATTTAGACGTTGTGACAGACTGTCCATTTGTATTATGTCGAAGGATTTCAGGATCCAGTCTTCGATTGTTGGTGTTTCTTTTTGTTTCCATAATTTGGCCCATGATATCCTGGCTGCTGTGCTTAACAGGAAGAACATTTTTTTCTTGGTTTGTGTTAAATTTAGGATAAGAAATGCCCAGGAGGTACATTCCTGGAAGTTGTGGGAAATTGGTTTTTAGGATTTTTTGGATTGATAAGTGAACTTCTCTCCAATATTTCCTAATTTTTCTACAAGCCCACCATTGATGGTAGTAAGTCCTTATCTCTTTTTGGCACTTCCAACATTTGTTTGATGTGGTTTTACTGAATTTGGCTATTTTATCTGGGGAATAATGCCATCTAAAAAACATTTTATACCAGTTTTCCTTTAAATCGGTGGCTACTGTATATTTTAATTTGGTATTCCAGATTTCCTCCCATTGTTTTACAAGTATGTTGTGACCCAAATCTTTAGCCCATTTAACCTGGCAGTTCTTAATTTGTTCTTCCTCGGTTTCCCAACATAGGAGTTGCTTATATAATAACTTAATTAGTTTTCTTTCTTTTTGCATAATAATTTCCCAGATTCCCTGTTCCTGGCAAAAGCCTTGTTTCTCATCTTTTTTTTGAAACTTTGATATAGTGCTGTGTGATGTTTTGTTGCCAAATTTGGTGTGATTTTGTTTATTGGTTCTTTTGTTTTTAAGGTACTCATTATGCACAGAGCATTTTTTTATATATAGATGTATATATATCTTGTAAGCTGCTCTAAGTCTCCTTTGGGGTGAGAAGGGTGGCATATCAATGTTGTAAATAAATAAATAAATAAATAAAAATATCGCTATCAACATACACTTGCAGAATCTACTTTCAAAAATTAGTGATTTTAGTTACCAGAAACTTTTCAATACAGCCCTTGTGAGAAACTGTAAGAGGAGAGGTAAGAAACTCACCAGGTTGCTAGCGTTCAAGGCGGTTCACAACCTCCCGAACGGTGACAATAAGATTCTCATTCTCCTGTGGATTCGCCAAGATAATGTTGTGCAGCCGATTCATATAAGCATCTATAGTGTCCATTGTAGGGGTTTCTCCACTTCCTGTAAGAAATAAAACAGAAAAAAACTAGAACACAGCAGGGGGAAAAACTGCAGCAGTGCTATTATTACAAAAGAGGCAGATACTAATCAAAGAGATAATAGATGAGGTCTTTCAAAGCACAAGGTACTTCAAATGAGTACAGTTCACATAGGTCCAGCATTTAGATAATATAATGATAAAACTGAAGGACCTTTTTTATTATAATGTGTCTATGCCCTATTAATGGGCTTTCAAGGTTCAGCAGCCATTGCCATACATGTTGGGCGATGGGCTTATTAACAAAAGACCCTCCTCATAAATGCACAGCAGAGTAACTTATTAGCAGCAGTGTGACCCAGCATGTAACTCAAAATGATAAAAAGAACAAAAAGGCATATACAACAGACAACAACAACATTATCAAAATGACATTAAAAATAATAATAATAATAATAATAATAATAATAATAATAATAAACATTCTAATAGACACAATCATAATAGAGATGGCAATGGGCAAGCCACATATTCCGGATAAAAAACAATTAACAAACTATGATGAGATAAAATAGGAGCAGGACGTTTAAATGGAACTCATAAAACACACAGAGTTGTGGGACGGAACATCCTATTTGGAGGACATGAACTCCATTAGCCGAAAACGTTGAGGGGGTGTAAAATATAATGCTGTGCACCTACTCGCCAAAGGCGCAGCGGAAAAGCCAGGTTTTGAGGTTCTTTTTAAATGTTTTCCTGATCTCTCCAGGTAAAGAGTTCCAAAGTCGGGGGGCCACAGAAGAGAAGGCTCTCTTGTTTACAAGAACAAGGTTTCCATAACACAAATAATGTTCTTTATACTTCCTTCTTTGCTTCCATGCTGGGCTTCTTTCTCATATAGATAATGTTGCTCTCCAGAACAGGAAACAGCCCCTCTGACTATGAACACACCACACGCTGAGTGAAGGAACAATCTTTTTTATTAAAGCTTAGCAAAAAAAAAAACCAGTAGAAATAAATGCTTGTAAAGATAGATAAGATTCCAAAAAGCAATAAGCCATTTAAAGGCAGCAAGATAAAACAGTGTCCAAACGTAGCAATCAACAGCAATGTTCAAAAAGCATAAAATATAATCCAAGGCACTGATTATCCAGACAGGAATCAACCAAGAAGCAAGAACAGACTGGACGCTGCTAGTCAAGTTGAAAGGCTAGAAAAAACCATGAAGACGAGACCACTTGAACAGGAGTCCCATGAGGCTTGTGCTTGGTTTCCAAACTATGCCTGATCTGACAAGATTTTCTAAAGGCAAACCTCAAATCCCAAAAACTGGTTTCGTTTTCCTCCAGCCTTTGACCTTAACTGACAACTGACGAATTCTTTCGGATGTACATAAACACTGGGCCTCTTGTCGATTCTGGCTAATCTCCAGCCGCTGACTCTGCTTATCTGACTCTTCATTAACTTTACCAGGTGCCAGTCTGTTTTCCAAACTAGAATCTGAAGAGCTCACAGGCGGAGGGAGTAAACCTTCCTCCCAAGGACTGACAAAAACATTCTCATGAGAATCTGCCCTTTGCACCGAAGCCTCTCTGTCAGTGTCTGCATGAAACTTATTGACCAAAGTATCTCCATCTTGCACCTCAGAGTCAGCCCCAGCATCCCCCATATCAGAAGCAACAGGGGACTGATTTCCCTCCTCATTACCCACATCAGACACAGAAACATCAGGAGTCTGAAACACAATCAAAGGTTGAATCACAGGCTGAGTCCCAACAGATAAACAGCTTTGCTCTCACAGAGCCTTTTCTCACACTAAACTTACACAGGAGCTTCACACAGTAGCCTTTTATATACAGCCATTTTCACACTGGAGCTTTACACACGAGGCTTTCAACCTGAGGTTTCTGTCATCGAAGCCTTCTCATACTAAGCCTTCTCACACACTGAGGCCTACTAACTCTGAGGCCTACCTCACACTGAGGCCTACTAAAACTGAGGCATTCTCATACTGAGGCCTCTCTCAGACTGAAGCCTCTTTCATAGGCAGGGGGCCACTGCTGAGAAGGCTGTGTCTCTCATCCCCATCAACCGTGTTTGCAATAGCGGTGGGATCGAGAGCAGGGCCTCTCCTGAAGATCTTAAACTTCATGATGGTTCGTGGCAGGAGATACGTTCGGACACGTAGTCTGGGCCAGAACTGTTTAGGGCTTTAAAGGTTAAAACCAGCACCTTGAGTTGTGCTCGGAAGCTGATTGGTAGCCAGTGGAGTTGGCGTAACAAAGTAGTTGAATGTTTCCTATATATCGCTCCGGTGAGCAACCTGGCTGCCAACCGCTGGACTAGTTGAAGCTTCCGGGCAGTCTTCAAAGGCAGCCCCACATAGAGTGCATTGCAGTAGTCTATTTGGGATGTAACAAGAGCATGGACCACTGTGGCCAAGTCAGACTTCTCAAGGAATGGGCTAGTTAATGTTTAATATTTCTGACAACACAAGCAATAGAGAGAGAATATCCATATTATGGAGAACGGGTGTGCAAAAGGTTGGAACAGCCTACTTTAAAATTCAAATTCTTTCCCACGAGCAGGTCCCAATACTTAGTTCCCAATATTTGACCTGTAGCATGCAGTCAGGAAAGTTCCCAGCCAGGTGGGATCCCCAGCTATTAAGGTTCAGAAAAGGTTCGGAGGCTATTAAGGTTCACCTGGTAATGGGACTCCGGCAAAGGTGCTGGCCAAAGCCTGCCGTAAGGTCTCCAGATGTTGCTGGAGCACAGTGTTGCGGCTGCGCTCCTGTATCACATCCACCTCCAGCTTCTCCACTGCCGTGCGCATGCTTTCCACATGTTTTTGCAGGGCGGCATTCCTCTCCTCAAACTCCATGTTGGATTTGCGCAGTTGGCGCAATTCGGCTTCCCGTGCTGTTGAGAACCCACAAGAGAAAGGCAGAATCATCTCTAGTCCACGAGGCAGGGGACCTATTCCCAATTCCCAATGTTATACTCACCTTTGCTGTGGTTCAGGAACTCTTCTGTGAAGATTGGGATATCAAAAACAGATCTCTCCTTCGTATCAGTTTCCTTCTGCAAACCAGACAACAAGTGTGTCACACCCAGGTCATTATCGGCATGATAAATCAGTGCAAGCACAAGGTGGGCAACCTATAATCCTCCGGATGCTGGACTGCAACTCCCATCATCCTTCCCCACCAGCTAGGCCCGATGGGAGTTGCAGCCCAACAATATTTTGGGGACCATCCAGTTGCCCTACTCTGCTTCTGTATTTTAATTTTAATTATGATCGTATTTTAATATATAATGTGCTTTATTATGGTTTAACTGTCTTAATAAGTTTTAATTGTCACTATTGACTATGTCTATTTCCTTTTTGTCCTAATGTAACTGTAATAATAATACAATAATAATACACTTTATTTATATTCCATTTTTTCTCCCCAGAGGGACTCAGAGCGGATTACAATACACATATGTGTCGCAGCTCAGGATAGATTCACCTTGCTCAGAACACCACACCAAACCAAAGCTGAAGGTTTTGTAGTTTACTGAAGAAAAACCAAGTCTTTAACATAAAAGTAGAGTTTCCAAAGTTCAATGGCAAAAGCAGAGTCTAAAATGCAAAGGCAAAGTTTCCAAAGTTCAATGGCAAACAAGATGAAGCATAATCCAAAAGTATTGATCAAACAAGAATCCATGGCAGCATGACAGAGTCCCAAGGAGCCAAGAACAAGACAAAGTCCCAAAAAGCCAAGAGCATTGCCCAAAAGCCAAGGCAATCCAGAGAAGTTACCAGGGTGTTTGCAGAAGTTGCACTGACAAAGAGTTGACTTCAAACAGCTCGTTTAATATACTTTCCCAGCATGAATGCATTCCTTTGACCTCTAACTTCTCTCTTGTTAGCAAGCCTCGCACTGCGGCAAACCCTGAATTGCAAGCGATCCTCCCTATCTAAATCTGCAGAGCCTTCAAGGTCGGATAGCTCATTACCCTAAAGGAAGCTGATGAAACCACTGATCATATCCTCAGCTGCTGCAAGAAAATCACACAGACAGACTACAAACAGAGGCACAACTCTGTGGCCCAAATGATTCACTGGAACTTATGTCACAAGTACCACCTACCAACAAGTATAGGGTAGACTCCTGCAGAAGTGAGAGGATCCCTCAGACATCAGAAGAGCTGCAAGACCAAGAACAAGCCACAAGAGTCAAGATAAAGATCCACCCAGAGGAAAAGTGTTCTTGTCATACATCAAGGGAACCACTGACCGCATAGGGAAGCTGATGAGGAAACACAACATACAAACTATCTACAGACCCACCAAGAAAATCCAACAAATCCTACGTTCAGCAAAGGACAAGAGGGATCCTCTCACTTCTGCAGGAGTCTACCGTATACCATGCAGCTGTGGACAAGTCTACATAGGGACCACCAAATGCAGCATTGCCCAAACACGAATCAAGGAACATGAAAGGCACTGCAGACTACTTCAACCAGAGAAGTCAGCCATAGCAGAGCACCTGATGAACCAGCCTGGACACAGAGTACAAGCACTGAAATCCACAAGCATGTGGACAATTTCAACAGAAAGGAGGAAACCATGAAAATGTACAAAATCTGGCTACCAGCATTAAAAAACTAAAATTAAAACAGCAAAACAGCAGAGGGAAAACAATCAGGGACATCTAATCACCTCTCAACAAAAGATTGCTCCAGGCACTTCCAGGCTATCAAATGCTAATCAAGGTGGTCAGTTGAAACATTCACACCTAGCTCCAGCAGACAAGAGTCCTTTGTCCCACCCTGGTCTTTCCACAGATATATAAACCCATTTACCTAGTTCCAACAGACCTCACTACCTCTGAGGATGCTTGCCATAGATGCAGGTGAAACGTCAGGAGAGAATGCCTCTAGAACATAGTCATATAGCCTGAAAAAACCTACAACAACCCAGTGACTCCGGCCATGAAAGCCTTCGACAATACAATAAATATTGACAAAATCACGATCTGTCAACTGCAAAAGGCCACCTGACTTGGATCTGCGTGCATCATTTGAAAATACATCGCACAGTCCTAAACGCTTGGGAAAAGTTCAACTTGTGAATTTGTGATATGAAATCCAGCATATAGATCACGTTTGCTGTGACATGCTGTGCTTTTGTGTCAATATTTATTTATTTATTTATTTAGAGTTCTTATATGAATCTTCTCACCTCCGGGGAGGGACTCAGGCCGGCTAACAACATAAAATTCAATACAATAAGAAAAACATTATAGGTCATCAATACAAAATACATTAAAATACACTTCATACAATTCATACAAATTACAGCAAAAAACAGTTCGTCCAAAAGAATCACAAATTCATCGCCATCCGCCAGAAAGGTCAGCAGTTATTGACTCAGTCATCATTCTGCGAATGCAGTATCCCAAAGCCATGTTTTTACCTGCTTTCTAAACGTCAGGAGGGAAGATGCAGATCTAATCTCCATCGGGAGGGATTTCCAAAGCGAGGGGCCACCACCAAAAAGGCCCTGTCCCTCGTCCCCACCAAACGCGAAGGCGATGGGACCGAGAGCAGGGCCCCTCCAGAAGATCTTAACAACCTTGATGGTTCATAGGGAAGAATCCGTTCAGACAGGTAAATAGGGCCAGAGCCGTTTAGGGATTTGTAGGTCAGCACCAGCACTTTGAATTGTGCTCGGAAGCTGATCGACAGCCAGTGGAGCTGGCGCAACAGAGGAGTAGTATGCTCCCTGTACCCCGCTCCCGTTAGTAATCTATAGTATTACTAATATAATAATATAGTAAATATAGTAATAGTAAATATAGTATAGTAAATACAATATAGTAATAATAATAATAAATCCAGGAGAGTGAATGGCCCCTTCTCTTTTTCCAGAGCTTTCCTGGAAACTTGTAAAAACAAGCTGTTCAATTTTATGGATTATTGTCTGAGTTTTGCTTCTAGCTCTTCTCTCTTCCCCCTGCCCCCACCCCGAACCCCTTCATTTTCCTTCTATATCACGTTGTTTGAGACTGAGAGTCTCACTCAGCAGGCAGGAATTGTCTTATTTTTATTGATAATGCAAATGCTACTTTGGGGAGGCCTTTTGAGCCGAGGAACGGCACAACAATGCCTTTTAATAAAACAAACAAACATTAAGTGGAGGAAATGAGGCATGTTAGCAGCATTCCTTTGTTTTGCCCATTAAATGCTTCACTAAAGCGGCACCTACAAGGTGAGATAGGAAGCAAGCTTGCCTAGAAGGAAGTCCTACGAATACTTTGAAGAGAATGTGCTGAAGGGTACACTGTTTCTGCTTTTTTTTTCTCCATAGAGGGAAGCTGATGGATTCGTTTCAATCTGTACAGCTCAAGATTGTGGACAAGATTCTTGGAGAGGCAAGAGCGACCACGTGCATCCCAGACCCCTCTGCCCATCCTGGCTTGTAAAGGAAGCCAGAGGGGATTGGCCAAGTGGATTGCAAGCTGTTTAACCTCAGCAGACTGAAAGCCAAAACCAAGGGTACAACAACATCTGTTATAGAACTCCAGTATGCTGATGACAATGTCATCTGTGCGCATTCAGAAGAAGATCTACAAGCCACTCTAAACACCTTCGCAGAAGCATACGAGAAACTCGGCCTGTCATTGAACATCGAGAAAACCAAAGTGCTCTTCCAGCAGTCACCAGCCAATCCCTTTCCAATGCCAGAGATACAGCTTAATGGTGTAACATCAGAAAAGGGGAAAGAAGGAAGGAGAAGGAGGGAGAGAAAGTGGGAAAGAAGGAGGGAAGGAGAGAAAGAAGGAAAGAAAGAAAGAGAAGGAAGGAAGGAAGGAGAGAACGAGGGAAAGAAGGAGGGAAGGATAGAAAAAAAGAAAGGTAGAGAAGGAAGGAAGGAAGAGAAGAGGGAGAGAAAGAGGGAAGGAGAAAGAAAGTGAGAGAAGGAAAGGAAGGAGGAGAGGAGGAGGAAAGGGAAGAAGGAAGGAGAGAAAGAAGGAAAGAACGAAGGAAGGAAGGAAGGGAGAAAGAGGGAAAGAAGGAGGAAAGAAAGAAAAAAAGAAAGGTAGAGAAGGAAGGAAGGAGAGAAAGAGGGAGAGAAAGAGGGAAAGAAGGAGGGAAGGAGAGAAAGAAGGGTAGAGAAGGATTGAAGGAGAGAAGGTGGGAGAGGAGGGAGAGAAAGTGGGAAAGAAGGAGGGAAGGAGAGAAAGAAGGAAAGAAAGAAAGAGAAGGAAGGAAGGAGAGAACGCGGGAAAGAAGGAGGGAAGGATAGAAGGAAAAAGAAGGAAGAAAGGAAGAAGGAGGAAGGTGGGAGAGGAGGAGAGAAAGGGGAAGAAAAGGAGAGGGAAAGAAAGAAAGAGAGAAGAAGAAGAGAAGGAAGGAGGGTGAGAAAGAGGAAAGGAAAGAGGAGAGAGAAGGAAAGAGAAAAGAGGGAGGGAGAAGGAAAGAGACAAGGAAGGATTGAACCAAAGAGCAAAGGAAGTGAGAAAAGAAACAAGAAGAGAAAAAGGAAGAAGAGAAGAAAAGAAAGAAAAAAGGAAGGAAGGAAGGAGTGAAAGAAAGAAGGAGAAGGAGGGAGGGAAGGCTTGCCACAGCAACGCGTGGCGGGTACAGCTAGTAATAAATAAATAAGCTGCACTGGTCGATTTTTTTCGAGTTTTGGAGACACACACCAGTGATACAGAACGGATGGCGGCACAGTACAAATTCTTTAATCATCTCCTACGTCTTTGTTTTCCCTTTGCAATTGCCGGCAGTTGCTTCAGGACAAGCATCCATCAGGGTCGCTTATGTCCTCTTATGAACACATATGCTCAGTCCGATGGCACATGGCGGAGGAGGCTTGCCCTAAATCATCCACGGCCAAGCAAAAGGTGTCTCCAAAGTGCTGTTTGGAGGCATTTGCTGAAATATCATTGTAATGAGGCTTTATTGTCCATCCCCAGCTGTGACCGGTTTAGAAGGGAGGCTTGAAGAAGGCCATCTGCTCCCTCGGAGGTCACTCTTTCAAGGACAGCCCCCGCCTTGAGTTCCGAGGGCAGTCGCCACATTGATTT